ATAATTTAAAAAAATAGTTAAGACTGTGTGTTATTGTGAAGACTAGGAAAAACTTACCAAAGAAGAAAACTAACCACAGCCAGAGAAGGTGAAGTCTGCTACTCTGTGAATCCCTAAACTGCAATAGAGTTCTTACAAACTCAGATTGGATATGACCCATCAGTTGGGCTGGACTTGAACACAAGCTCTCTCGTATTATGACACTGTCCTGAGCCTTCACACTGACTTTGAGTCACCAGTCTAAATCCACACAGCTGGGGCCTAGCACTTGGGGCCTAGCAACAGACACAAGGTCAATACTTGCGAAGATACTAATGAAAGCAAGACTTTAAAAATGTTTGACACAAACTTGACTCACTAGGGCTAACGTTTATGACAATGTATGAAATCTTTCAGGGTGCAGATGGGGAGGGGTCTAAGCATGATTAAGACGTATCATATGAAATCCACAAAAATTCAATAAAAAGTATATATTGAAAAAAAGTTTAAAATGTATGTTACAATGCATCTTACAATTGTTCTGAAAACTAAGGTTCATCAAAAAGAAAAGTTAAGCATAGAAATAAAAAGCACATAGTACAGAGCCAGTGGCCTTGCCAATAGTCCAGCCCGTGGCTGGTCTGCGGTTTCTGAGACGTGAGGAGTCAGCTCTGAGGGGACTTGTACCCGAAGCAAAAACAAACAAACGAAAACAATGTTGGTTTATTTAACAGTCACTACTTGCTATGAGGAAGCACCGCAGCAGGCTGATGGCAAGAAAACTTCACTGGGGCCCCAGCCCCGGAATCGCCCAGTGGAGTTGTTTCTGTCCACAGCAGTTGTGGCTATTTGCCTTTATGACCTTTGGGAACTGGGAGTTGTGACAGACATTGAGTTTCCAGGGATGGACATGTGGGAGCAGGACGACCCCAGCGGCTGGCTCAGGTGCAGCTGTTGAATGAGTTGGGCGTGGTCATTTTCTGCTGCAACCTCCCACAGACTAGAACCTTCTCCCCAGTCTGGGCCTCCTAGCCTTCCTGGAGCCCATTGTAGTCAGCATTTACCTACAGCGAAGTGATGTGCTCACTGCAGTGAGAGGTGATGTCAGACCACATCATTAGTGAGAATGTAAAGAGCGAGGCATGTGACAAGCTTTAACGGTGTCATTTTGAAACTTCGACCATGTGTAGGCTCAAATCCAAAAGTCTCCCTTGGACGCTGGGCCACACCTCCAGCTCCTTCCAGACTGTTCTCTTAGAAGAGGCCAGCCTGGCTCCTCCAGCCCAGGGGTCGATCTCAGCAGGGATCTTCACCTAGAATGAGGCACTTCGTCCTTCCCTCCCACTGGGGTTAGCACCTGGAGGGACAGGAAACCCAGAAAGAAGCATTTACACAGACTGTGAACCCTGGAGGCTGCTGTCAGAGCCAGCCACACCTCCTAGCTCCTGAGCCGTAGGGCTGGGCTCCCAGGTCAGAGAGCAATGGCTGGTTGCCCCCAGATGGGCAGCAGCTGTCACTGCAGCCGCAGCACCTCTACGGCAGCGGTCTTATCTCTACCACGAGGAAGAGGGCTCCCAATACAGTGCTCCTTCACCTCTGCTCCTGGACACCCTCGCCTCTCCTTGCTCAATCTGTTTGTATAAACAAGCTAACACAAAAGCCCACCTAGGTTATCCCACCAGGCCCTGTGGGAAGGTAATGATTTTTACTTAGGGATTTGAAAGTAGATGGCTCATCAACTCTGGTGTCCACACCACCCACCCAGTGTTCTGACACAGAACCCAGTATTCCTTCTTTGAGAGAGTTGTGTGCCAGTGCTATGTCCCCTCATCTCTAGCTGTTGCCTGAAAGGTCATCAGTGATGGGGTGAGGAAATTTAAAATACAGCACAGACGCGGGGAAGGATCTGCCAACACTATGCAGAAGCACACCTGCGGGCCAAGGTGCTCGTGTGTGTGTGTGTGTGTGTGTGTGTGTGTGTGTGCGTGTGACACACAGAACACAGAAACACATCAGACACAGAGACAGACACATATACACACACACCACATAGACGCCACACACATTCACTTACATACACATATACACACACCACACATACACACACATACACATACATACACACATACATAAACCCATACCATACACATACACTTACCATACATACCATACACACACACCACACACATATACACCACACAGACACATCACTCATACTCATACACATGTACACACATGTCATATACAACATACATAGACATACTACACACATGCCACACACATACATGCACCATACCTACACATATGTACAATGCACAACACACCATGCACATATACACACGTACACGTG